TACAATGGATTTCATAACTAAGTTACCAAAGACAGCGGGTGGTTATGATACTATTTGGGTAATCATCGATAGATTGACCAAATCCGCACACTTCTTGCCAATAAAAGAAAACGACAAGATGGAGAAGTTAACAAGAATTTACCTCAAAGAGATAGTTAGACTGCATGGTATGCCAAAATCTATTATTTCTAACCGGGATAGTATATTTACTTCTCGTTTCTGGCAGTCTTTACAATACTCTCTGGGAACTAGGCTGGACATGAGTACAACCTATCATCCACAAACTGACGGACAAAGTGAGAGGACGATCCAAACTCTAGAAGATATGTTGCGAGCCTGCGTGATAGACTTTGGAAAGGCATGAGATACTCATTTACCCCTTGTCGAATTATCTTACAATAACAGTTATCACACAAGCCTAAAGGTTGCTCCATTCGAAGCCCTCTATAGCCGCAAGTGCAGATCACTTATGTGATGGGCTGAAGTGGGTGATACGCAGCTAGCTAGAGGTCAAGTTCCTGATAGTACTCTCACTGGTCCGGAAATCATTCGTGAAACTACGTAGAAAATCGTACAAATTCGGGAGCGACTTAAAGCTTCCAGAGATAGACAGAAAAGCTACGATGACAAAAGGAGAAAACCTTTGGAATTCCAGGTTAGCGACCGCGTCTTGTTGAAGGTCTCACCCTGGAAGGGCATGATATGCTTTGGAAAGCATGGCAAGCTGAACCCAAGGTACATAGGACCATTCGAGATTCTTGCTAGAATCGGTCCAGTAGCTTACGAACTCCAACTACCCCAAGAACTAAGTAACGTACATCCTATCTTCCACGTCTCTATCTTGAAAAAGTGCTTATCTGACGAGACTCTTGTTATCCCACTGGATGAGATCGAGGTAAACGAGAATCTCAACTTTGTGGAAGAACCCGTAGAGATCTTAGACGGGGAAGTGAAGACAACCAAACAAAGTCGTATCCCAATAGTGAAGGTTCACTGGAATGAAAAACGGGGGCCAGAATTCACTAGGGAGCGGGAGGACCAAATGAAACTGAAATATCCTCATCTTTTTCCTTAGTTATCTGTATTTGCTTAAACTCTAATTTCAGGACGAAATTCCCTTTAACGGGGGGATGATGTGACAACCCGAAATTTCTATCTTGTAAGTCAAGCAAATCAATCAAAAGTCAGACTTGTTTCTATTATCTTTTAGCCTTGTTAAGGGTCTGTTTGAGAGTTTTAAGCCTAGTACACTCAAGGATTGCGTGTTAGGAAACGTTAGCTTGAGTTCATTGAGTTACATTTGATTCGGAAACATCATGTAGGGATGTTCACGGCTGCAAACTAGGTTCACGGCCGTGAACCCATGTTTGGCCATGAACCCCTCACTACATGTATAGATTTCCTTCATCTTTCATTCATTTCTCACATAATTCAGCCAAAAACTCTCAAACTCTCTCAAGTATCATCAAGGGAAAACACTCCTTTCTCTTCAAAAACATAAGTGATTGATTCCTTTTACTTGCTATCCTTTTAATTCAAGTGAAACCCTTTGATAATATCCTTGAATTCATTACTTTTCCTTCAAGATCATCAAATCACCATCTTCTTCACCAAGAACACCAAGAACACCAAGAACACACACTTGTTCTTGGGCCGTGATCATCTTAAAAGGCTTCCAAAACATAAGTAGCTCATTCATCTACTAGTTGTCCATTAGAAGCACTTTAATCCCCATGAAACAAACATCTTTTGGCATGATTCTTCAAGAGTTCACGGCCGTGAACCCTTCATTAGGCCGTTAACCCTTCATAAGATCATCCATGGTCGTGAACCCTTCTTAAGGCTAAGCTTGGGCTGTAAACACTTCAAGTATTCTTGGCCGTGAACACTTCTGAGGCCGTGAACACTTCCTTGTGTGGTTGTGAACTCCCTTCAATCAATCATATGTGATTGTAACACTTCATTGCAAGTGTTTCCTAGTTCCTAAGGTTGTTTACCTTAGCATGTTAGTTGTTATATACACTAATTATATACTTATATGTGTCATTATATGCATAATAGGATCCATTGTACTTAGGACTTCACTCTTGTGACTTTGCATCCTATATCGAACTTTCAGATTTACTCACTATCAGGTGAGTTCATACCCCCCGTATTTTCATAGTTTTTACTGTTTAAAGGGGGAGGGGGGATACAAGTCTAACACAAGGATTTTGTGTTACAAACAAATGGTTTCAAAACATCTTACCAAAATGGATTTCAATTATCATCAAATCAAATTGTGTTAAAATGACATCAAGTCACCAAAAGTATTTCAAAATATTAAACTTTTTAAATGATTTTATAAACTTATATTTTTCCCCAGAAATCATATTTATATATATATATATATATATATATATATATATATATATATATATATTATATATACATATATATATATATATATATATATATATATAAGATTTAAAAGGCTTAGGACTGATAACTCACTTTGGTTCCTTTTCCTTGTTTGGATGTGGGCTTATAGTATCGGTTATTTGTCCGAATGTCATTTAAATTTTACTTATATATATTTGTATATGTATATAAATATAAAAGTTATTTCATTCAGTTCAAATACCCTTTGTAACATGTTGGGCAAGGGGTTGCATTCATGAACAGTTAGTACAAATTCAGAAATTACATATAAATTATAATAGGTATAATTTATGATTCATAGAACATTAATTCGTGATTCAAGTATACTAGAGTACAATACTTTACAAGAATAAAGGTTTGATTCAAAACTAATCAAGAGTATACATCTTTCAAGTACATGTTAAGGATACTAATTCAGGGGCATACTATCGATCCTTTATTTCAGAATGATTGGGTTTTCATAACTATTATACATGTAACGTCTATATGCTTTTTATGAGTCATTTGATTCAGGTTGTTTAATTCATTTAAACAACATAGTTAAAGTCCTGAGATTATAACCAGAATCTCCAGTCGGGGATCGAAACAAGTGTGTATAGATCTATATTGGGATTAACAACCCTGCACTCAGACTGCTAGCTACAGTCGGGCATACACACCTACGAGTGACAGTTGTTATCAACATTTTTAAAACTCCTTCAAAGCGTTGTTTCAGGCCATCTAGTCTTAGTATGGTTATAATAACTCATTAAAAAGATATTAACAACACATTAGTGTATAATAAACTAAACATAAGTACATCTTCAAAGTACTAGTTTATAAGATACAACCTACAGTATTACATTACAGTTTACAATAACAGCTGGTGGAACCAGGCACACTCATAGTTACAGGTTTTACAAAAGGAATACAAATACATAATATTGATTTACAAACAGAATGGTTTTATGTGATTAAAACTACTTTTCATATACAACAAAAAATATAGGATTTTCTGGAACAGTTTACATATTCATGAAACAGAAAACATACCTTCAAACATAAATGCTTATGCACTCACTCAACTTTATATTGATACTCTCTTTTCAAATTACTTGTATTCTCATGGAATCAGTAGACAGGTACTCCCCGAGCTTTTGAGAAAATGGAGCTATTTTTGAGTCATGCCTTCTTCTTTTGTATAGCTATTTTGGTTTCAATATACAATGATTGAACACATGTAAATATTTATACTTTTTAAATACAATGGTTGTTGGTACTTTGATTACTATGATGCATGTGTTGTGATACCACAAATGAAGTCATCCACCCCCGGACGTTTCCGCCGTCTGGTTTGGGGGTGTGACAGATATATATATATATATATATATATATATATATATATATATATATATATATATATATACCATCTTATAAAGCATACATAATCAATGTATTAAGTACAAATTTTAAAGCCTAAGGTACAAAAAATTAAGCATGTTATCTTAAAAAACAAGTAGAGTAGATCTGGACCGTTGAATCTACATTGGACGGTGAGGATTCTATCAATGGTGATCCGTGTGATTTGTTTACAACCAATCAAAATAGAGCAGATCTGGACCGTTGAATCTACATTGGACGGTGAGGATTCTATCAATGGTGATCCGTGTTATTTGTTTACAACCAATCAAAATAGAGCGTTTGGGCGGCATTTTAATTTTAATATAGGGTTGAATTCTAGGAGGGCAATTCAATTTTTTTGAAATCGGATGGCGTCTCATTTCCTCTGTATCACTTTTATCTCGCCCCATTCAAGATTGTATACCTCATTCTCTCTCATTCTAAACCCTAGGTAACTGGTCAGAAGCATTGTGCCGCCTCCTACTTCCCTTAAGAGATTACTTTGTGTCTTCTAGGTTACTTCCAGCCGACATATTTCCTCTATACTCAAACTCAAATGAATATTCCAAGAAAATCAAATTTTGATCGTTTTCATCATTGATTTTCAATTTTCATCGAAGTCGATCAATAGCAACCTACGAGCCTGCGTGCGATGACCAGCAACAGCAAGAAGCGACCAGCAAGCAGCGACAGATACGGACTGAGCGACCCTTCTTTCTTCAATCGATTGACGGCCCCTTCATTGATTTTCATACCTCGCACAAGAAACAATCACAAGTCTGACTTTTTTGAAATCGATAATGGACCTCTTCTCAGAATCGATCGCATATTTCTTTGTCTTCATTTTTTCTTGAAATTGATCATAGGTCTTATTGTTTGTACTGTTAATATGATTTTGTGGTAATTTGTTTGTATTGTTAATCTGATTTTGTGGTAATTTGTATTCTTGAAATTAATTTCCGATTTGCTGATTTCAAATTTAAGCTTATGTGAACTGTTAGAATTTGAATTTTTTGCTAATCTGTGCTTCTGTCGCTGTTGAAACTGATTTTTGAATTTCTTATTTAGAATATGTGCTTATTTCAACTGTTGATTCTGATTTTTGTACTGTTGAAATTGTTGAATTTGATTTTTGTGCTGTTGAAATTGTTGAATCTGATTTTTGTGCTGTTGAATCTAATTATCTTCTCCGCTTCCACATGACCACCTTCAACGACGACCACCATCCATCGATGTTGCCTTTTTCACTTCTACTACGCCTCCCTCGATTTCTTCTTCTATATATCTGTAAATTATTAACCACACACCATTTATTTGACGCTCTCTTTCTCTACTATAGAAACGGTAAAGATACATGGGAAAAGACAAAAAGACCATCGCCGCCTGTTGTAGAATACATCATCTCACGATTAAATATCTTCCCCGGTCGATCTACACAAGTAAGTTGTATATCTATTTTTTTTTGTTTTTTGAAGACAAAGCCAGTTTAGGGTTTTTATGTTTTTCTTATTTGGTTCATGTCAATTGAATGTATTTCATGTTTCTCCAGGGGATTTTGACGTTTCTAAGATTCAAATTGAATAGGGGATTGATGTTTCTCACATTCAAATCGAACAAGTTATTTTATTTTTAATTTTTCATCTATATGGTTTCAAATCAGAACCCATGGAATTTTGTTGTTTGTTTTGTGAAGGTAGTGAAAAAACTATGACAGGAACTGGTGTTCTCTTTGGGTAAAATGTACAACCATGGCATATATAAAATTACATATAGGCTAAAGGGAATGGGCCTCGCTAAGGAGGTCGTCACCGGTCGCCAAGGGCGCTGAGCACCGCCCCCTTGTTTACGCCAAGGAAGTCGCCAGCTATGGCTCGCCAGCACCCTAACGAGTAGAGAGAGAAAGAGATTTCGTGGTTTTTGGCTGTTTTTGAGAATTTAGGTATCGATCCCAATACTCGACTTCAGGTACTCCACATCAAACGCACCACAACTGTATTCTTCTTATTCTTCCAATTTCAGTATCTATTGCTTCTGTGAAAAACAAATTGATTTCTCGGTCTGAAACCTAGATGATTTTATATTTTTTCATTGGGGATTCATTACGTTCTTCACCGTTTTTTTAAATAGTGCAGTAATTTTTAGCTTAACTATGTTTGTTTTTGAGAATTTACGCTGATGTTAATTGAATTAGCTCTTGAATTGTGCTACATTCATGTCTATTTGGGAGAAAGGCTTTAAGACCTGTTGCTTTATGATTAGGTTTCGAAGTTAGCAACCCATTCAAAGGTCCCGAACTAGCTTTTTGCCCAAAAAGCATTAGCGTTTGTATTTCCCCTTAGTGTAACAATTTTGAAGACATTCATGTAGAAATTGCTACCTTGTAGTTTATGAAAGTATTTAGGTTTAGATGGCTTCTCAGAAGTGATCTATTTGATACATAATAATCACAATCAGATGATTAAAACATGCCATAAGAGATCAAACCAGATTATTTAAGTATCTAATGGTGTATTGAGCATTCTTATATATAGTTGGATCATTTGATGACTTGGTATATATTGTGTACTTGTTGACATTTGTAGCTTCATGGAGAACTTGATACAAGAATTGGTGTTCCAACTTTTTTCAGCGTAATCCTTAGATACTTTCCTCCAGAAGTAAGTTACCTTTTCTTTATATTAAAATTTCACAACTAATTGTAGTAATTAATAAATATTTATCTTTCTTTTTATTCCCCATATATTATATATAGCTTTCTGCAAAAATAGGAGCAGAATTACAATATGATAGATGTGAAAAACTCCATTACACCATGCATGAAAAAAAGTCATTCCCACTAGGCCACTAACACCTGATGGAGCTGTCAATTTTGTTGTGAAAGGGCGTTGTGATCTTGACAAAGAATTATTATTATTATTATTATTATTATTATTATTATTATTATTATTATTATCAAAAAACTAAACTATAATTTATTTAATTTACTTACTTTTTATTTTTTTACAGCCCACACCAAGTGGAGCAGCTGAATTGGTTTGGAACATTCTTGATTTTCAGAAAAATATTTGTTTATTAAAATAAAGTAATTAAATTAAATTACAAAAAGTAAATTGAAAAAATATATTTATTAAAATATAGTAATTAAATTAAATTAGAAAAAAGAAAATACAAAAAAAGTGAGGGTCGAGCTTATGCTGTTGATTGTTACTTAAAGTTACTGGTCAGACTTTGCCATATATTTGATACCAGGGGTGGGGTCAAACGAGTCAAAGACGGGCATCTCAAGATCAGATATTTAACGAAACCCGTTTACAAAATTTGCAAAGACAACTTGTCAATGATCTGCTTGAGGTTTGTGACTGGATGTTTAGAAATTATGGATTTTTTTTCTTATGTGAATGTGTATTTGGGCAGGTGAATACTCCTAGAATTGCTGCCCGACTTATTTGGGCAATTTCAGAACACATTGATTTAGAAGGTTTGGATCCTCTTTTAGCTGATGACCCAGAGGATGCATTAAACATTATCATATCAAAAATCCAGAAGATCCTGTTCAATGCTGACTCATCTGCGACTGAAACGAATAAGCTCCAAGATGTTCAAGCGGTTCTTTTATGTGCTCAAATATTGGGTTCACGTAATTCTAGAGACGGCCAGTTGCTCACAAAAGAGTTGTTTGATAATTTTCATTTTTTATTGAGAATGTAAGGCATCCAAACTCTTGCACAATCTTAATTAAAGGTAATTAAAATTTTCATTTTTTTTATTTGAAAAATCTTAATTCAATTTTGTATTTTAATGGTTATAATTGTTTTATTTTCTATTATTATTAAAGGACCAAATGACCACACAATTTCACAAATCAAGGATGTTGTTAGAGATGGCCTGCGATCAGTAAAAAACACCATTGAAGATGAGGCAGTTGTTAGAGTAAGAACACCCGTTGACTTTTTGACTTTAATTAAATTGAGCTTTATATATGTAACATTATATTTTCTAACATATTTATTATTTAAAATATGTATTTCAGGGTGCTGGTGCTTTTCAGGTTGCTGCCAGACAACATTTGATAAATTTCAGGGTGAAGAAAACTGTTAAAGGGGTAAATTGGACAATTTCTTCTCATCATTTGTAGCTTTTTTAATCCATGTGAACCAAATGTTAATTAGTTTTATAAATTTTTGGTGGTTATTTTAGCGTGCTCAACTTGGTGTTCAAGCTTTTGCGGATGCTCTTCTTATTGTGCCAAAGACACTTGCTAAAAATTCTGGACTTGATACACAAGACGTCATAATTTCTTTGACTGTAATTCCCATTATACCCTTGGTCTCTTTTCTTTTTTCCTTTCTTTTCATATAATAAAGTCTCTTACTTAATTTGATTAGGGGGAGCATGATAATGGGAATGTTGTTGGATTAAATCAACACACAGGTGATCCAATTGACCCTCAGATGGAGGGCATTTTCGACAATTACGCTGTCAAACTCCAAATCATCAAGTCAGCATATGCAAATAACTATAAAAACTTTTGCTAATTTCTTATTTTCCTTTTCTTAAATTAAATGTAAAAAAAAAAGAGAATAAATATATAGCTTACCATTTTTTTTTGTAGACCGGTGATTGCATCACAGCTGTTACTTGTGGACGAAGTTATCCGTACAGGGCGTAACATAAGATAGCCAACTTAAGGTGTTTGTTTGTTTAGATCAAGCACAAAGAAATTTAAAATGTGAAATTATCTTGTTTTTTAATAGGGTTTGAGCATGTTTTTGGTAGCTACATTGACATTGCAAAAAAGTTGGGAAAATATTTTTGTAGTGAAATTTGTTCAATAAGTATGCAGAGTGTTTCGTAGTAGATTTGTTATTTATTACCACAATGCATAGATTCCTGGATGTATGACTCCACACTTTTATTTGTAGTGAAATTTGTTAATCTGATATGTGTTAGAAATGTTGGTTTGCCATGGCTGGATTCATGGATGCATGACTCCACAATGTTTAGGCTTTTTACTTTATAAAACTTATTTTCGAAGTGTAAATATGGTTCATCAATAAAGTTAATGCTTTTGTAGTGGATGTAATGAGAAATCGTAAAATAATGCCACATGCCATTGTCGTTCCAAAAAAAAAAACAAAAAAACAAATGCCCCATACCATAAATCAGATGTAAATACGTCTAAAATAAGAGATCTCATAAAATAATACAAATATTCAATGTCATTAGTGTTTATTTCAATTAAATTATATATGTAAATAACTCTTTGATAAACAATTATATATTTAATTATGTGTGGTAATAGGGAAGTACACTATGGACAACATTTAACTAAATTGTTTTTTATTTGTTGCTAATTTGCTATAGGTACACAAAAAATAGTCTAACACATTGTTGATTGCAATAGATTTAATTATGCATATTTTTAGATGTTTTTAGACTTTTAGTAAACATTTTAAGGGTTAATAGCATAAAAACCATTATATTTGTCATGCGTTTAACTATCCAACCATTTTTATTTGTGCTAAGTTCTATCACGAGCATTATGACCTCTCATTTGAAAGAGTCATTCTTTAGTGCTAGGCCTAAGGCCCTTTGATATATGACATTTCAGTTAGTAAATTAATTGACGAACTGAATCTTTTTGCAATAAAGGTCATACACTACAAAGAATTTGACCATGAAACCGTTTAATACTTTCATGTTGGTTAGATGATAAACAAATGCAAACTTGCAAAATTACAAAAGAATTATGAATTGTTTTTACTGTATATGATTTTGAAGATGATGAGTTTGATAGTCAATAATAGACTAAGATGGAGACGAACAATGCAAACGTAGTCCCAATGTTCAAAAATAACAAATACATTTATTTTAATCCGGACACAGATTGTCGAAAATAAAACTAATCACCGTGAGATAGTAATCACCGAATTAACCATTGGTCGCCGACGTATCGTGAAAAAGAAATCAGAGCAATAAATAAGGAACTATTCCTACACCACACCTACGTACTTAGTTGTAGTGGTGGACACATGATTTCGTAGTAGGTGTTGCCGGTGGCACATAGGTGTTGGTGGAGACATTTTTATTACGTAGTGGCACAAAAGTATAAAAAATGAAAAATTCAAAAAAATTTACACTGCGTCCGAAAAACATAAGGGGTTGCAGGTGCCCCTATTGGCACCATAGTGGAACCGCCCCGACTTAGCTCAAAACTATTTGCTGAAAGGAGCTATCCAAACTTAAATAATCCATCAAAAGGCTAAAACGAACTATCTAAAATGAAAAAGAAACTAATCGCCGTATGAACATTATCTACCGGAAGGAACTATCTGGCGTCGCCGCATCGCGCGGGTATCCTACTAGTATATATATATATATATATATATATATATATATATATATATATATATATAACATTGTGGGATTGAAAACCCTATGTACTCACCAGGTTTTCCAACCTGATCCAATCAGTTTATTTATATCACAGGTGTCGATACGAAGGTACATTTCACTGAGAGATTAACGGAGATGTAAATCATTAGTGTAAATGAATGTAAGGTCTGTTTATGCTTATGTTTTTGTATTGACGTTTACATCCCAATGTTTTAATATAAAAAAATATATTTCTTCAGAAATTCTTTGATAATATCTTTATCATATTTCTAGGAACAAATTCCGTAATATTATTCTTTCAAATGGATACTTTAATATTTAAATAAGCATAAATGAAAATTTTAAAATGACCTTGAATTTGTGGGTGTCACACATATTTCATAAAAAATATTTTATATTACAATCTACAATAATGTTAAGAATGGGGTATTACACTTATCTATGACATTGTTATCTTTATTATGTAAATGAAATACACATATTCCAACTTCAAGAAATGGATATTTGAAGGAAAATAATGTGGTTTATTTGACATATGTGAATCGTATTTATATACAAAAGATTCCTAATGATATTTTCACTAAACTACAGAGAAAATAATTATTAAGTAACTATACACTACGATGTATGACTTCCTTTCTAATGAATATATAGATTTAGTACCAGATACTTGTGAAACATTTGTTAATGTTTTCAAATATAAAGTTTAGATACAGATCAGTAGAACCATCTAAATCCTTAACGAAAATAAAGGATGAATTAAACCTTACTAGATGTGGTTTAATTTCTAATCGATAGAAATTATCCTCCTTTATTCTTTATGGGTTTGTTCCTTAATCACTATCACTTGTATCTTGAATACAAACACAAGCTACTGAGTAGATAAAACACTTTATAAGACTTAGTATGGAAATGATACATCCTTATCTTATTTAACGGATTTGATGCCAATGTTAGACTAAAGCTTCTAAACCTAAAATGTACTAATTACATATATGTAGAATACTCTAAAAGGTTGCTTAGATAATTTTATACAAACCCACCAAGAATAAGTTTTTCTTATTCTTATCAAAGCTGAGTTATTAGAAAGCAGACTTTTAATGACAAAGCAAGTGGGATGCACATGGAACTTTAAGCAGCTCAAGAACCATAGGTGGGCGTAATAGCAGTTGGCACTAGTTTTAACAAGGAATTGTAAACTTGAATAATATCTATTCATCAACACAAACTGTTCACATATATGGTAGAAATTATCTATAATATGAGAAATATGGAATCTCCCATTGATGAGTTCTTATTGATGGTTTCTGGAAAATCCATCAACTACCAATGCTATATCATACTTTGAACCTGATTAATAACTTAGAGTCATGAAAGATGAAATGTAATCCATGTATAATAATCAAGTATGGGCTTGATTAATCTTCCTCCCTATAATAAGACTAGCTGCAGTATGTAATTCGTATAGAAAGAATACATACATGGAGATCAATACACATTTAACAAGCTTTGTCATTAACGGCTTTAATCATACTCATGCCAATAACTATGATCAAACCTTTCCTATAGTAGATATGATTAGATTAACAAGGATATTATTTACCATAACTACATATTCTAAATATCAGATATGGTAATAGATTTCAAGTAAAACAACTTTCAATAAAAGACACCTACTTGAAGATGTCTATATAGCTTAGCCTGGGGGTTTTCATAATCCAATTTATCCTAACAAAATGTGTAAGGATTAAGATCCATTTGTTAATATAAAGAAAATATACTCTTAGTGGGTTTGTATAACTCTTTTTATGAAGGGTCAAGCTTGAGTTATAAGGCTAAGCAGAATTCATACAAATTAAATTTAGCCAGACACGTTAATATAGTCTTTGATTTAAACTAAGCATGAAGGGTCAATGTTGAGTTATAAGACTTTGTTATTTTAGAAATGGGATTTAATTTGGATTTAGTATTTGGATATTAGAACATTATAACAATAATTATTGTATTGTTTTCATTTATTGGGATATGATCATCAAATTAATACTTGTTGTGTTCTATATTAACATGTTAAATCCATGAATAATTTTATTTTTCTTCAAATTTCATAGTCGGTTATAATTGTGAGAGAAATTATGAAGTAGGACTAATATGAATTGGATTGGTTGATTCTCATAAGATGAAAGTAGATCACCTCATGAAACGCTATCATGAGTCATAACTGATAAAAAAAGGTATTATCTTTGTATCCTTAATACCCGAGGTGCATAATGGGACTTAAGTGTAGCGAGTGATCTGCTTTGATGTGGTCAAATGTTGATCCTTAATCAGGTAGTAATAAAGGTTATTATTAGGTGTGGATTGAACTATGCAAGAGGTTTAAGTAGTCAAGATGTGATTTTTTTTCCTCTTATGTGTTGCAAGCTAGACATCTAACGCACATTACCCATAATTAAACACCTTATGATATTGATTGCAATCTAAGTCTAATGTTTAACAGGATGTCTGTAACAAAGGGATAACTGATAAAATTACCTTATACATCAATTATAGTTTTGAGCTTTTTGGGAATTTGATGTTGATGAATGGAATTATTCGTTGTGTGTTATTAGAGGCAGTGAAATCTTGCTAGACATTCGCCACTATCTATATCGATCTATGATAAGACTTGTGAAAGTGGGAGATTGAAAGATCATTATCCCCAAGAGTCATTATAGAATGATATTTGCTAATGACATATGATCCTATAGGGTCACACCTTATAGCAAGTTACTACTAATTGATTATTTATTAAACTAATTTGATTATTTATAAATATAATTAACACTTTTATTTTATTAGAAAAATATTATTTTATGAAAATAATATTTATACCATCATGTTGTGAACTATTGTTTCTAGGAAATAAAATCAAAAATAGAACCAAAACTAGTTATATTGATATGACATGAATATATATGTTATGTACAAATTAAATGAGAACCTTGAGTAACCATTTAGTTTCTATGTAACCAGCTAGTTATGCATTATGTGAAAGACACTTCATGGCCCCACTTGGACTCATGAAAGCCATGAATGACAAAAGAGGATGGAGAGTTAGAGTGTTTGACTTCATCTTTCATTTGTTATACTCTTATAAAGTATGGCTTTCACATTAATGAGGAATGGTCCTTCCTTGATGCATGTGATGAAGAAATAAGCTAGTTTTTTGTCAAAAAAATCCTCTCTAAGGGGCTGCCAATTTTGTGGTTTACAAGTCCTATTTCCCTCTCTTCTTTCTTGCAAT